CCTTTACTCCATAAAAACTACAGGCATTGGATATTTTTGTAGATGTTCCATTAAGGTCTATGCAACAGAAAATTATAAAATACCGTACTTGTGAGTATGTGTAATGGTATTATTGAGCAGATTTTTATCTAGCTATTTACCTGGCTAGCTATCTGGCCATCTACCTAGCTATCTAATTACCTAGCTATCTAGCTGTCTATCTATCTATCTATGTGTATTTCACACAGTGGGGAGTGAATGGAAGGTCATCTAGGAAAGCCTTTGCATTCCTGATAAAAGTGAGATTTGGCTGGGCTGTCCCTTCCTGCCTTGGGCTAAAACTTGATACCATCTTGTGACCATGACAGAAAAGCCAAGATAATTGAGGAAACATTGGCCCTGCCATTGACAAGCTACTGAAATAACACCAGGAACCACCTACCTCCAGAATTCTTGTTAAGTGAGATATAAACCTGTATCTGTCTGTGTCTGTTTGTTAGGATTCTTTTATTTGCAGCTGAACACACTCTGAACTGATAAGTCAATAACAGTAAATAAGTAAAGAAGATAGGCAAACAGAAAACTCTAGTTGTTCACAATATGTTGTTGTTAGTTGCCATCAAGTTGGCTCCATCTCATGGTGACCCTATGTATAACAGAATGAGATGCTGACCTGTCTTGCGCCATCTCCATGATCCCATTGAGCCCATGGTTGAGGCTATTGTGTCAATCCATCTCATAGAGGGTTTCCTTTATTTTCAATGACCCTCTGCTTTACCAAACATCATGTTCTTTTCTAGCGATTGGCCTTTCCTGATGACATGGTTCATAGTATATAAATGTTTAAACACTGAAAAATTACCTCTAGAGACACAAAACCCCTAACTCGATAATAGGAACTCGGGTATCAGTTACTCAAATTAAGTGCTTATTCCAATGGTCTTTTTAGCATAACCCTTCTTAAAAGCATAATTTGCATAAATTATTCACAACATTTTAGTATAATTTACTTTTTTCACCTTTGAACTATCATCTGTACAATGGGATAAGAGTAGTTCTTACTGCGTAGGGTTTTGAAAGGACTGAATGAGACAATTTGTACTAAGGACCTAGGACAGTGCCTGGCACATACTAAAGTGCTCAATAAATATTAGTTATTATGCTAATTATTAATAATCTAAAATAGTGATGTTACAGAAGAAAACATTCTTTGATGGTTACTCGGATGGGGAGGGAGGGAGGGGGTATTCACTAGCTAGATAGTAAACAAGAATTATCTTAGGTGAAGGGAAGGACAACATACCCTACAGGGAAAGTCAGCACAACTGGACTAAACCAAAAGCTAAGAGGTTTCCTGAATACAACCAAACACTTTGAGGGACAGCGTAGCAGGGGCGGGGGTCTGGGGACTATGGTTTCAGGGGACATCTAGGTCAATTGGCATAACAAAGTTTATTAAGAAAATGTTCTGCATCCTGCTTTGGTGAGTGGCATCTGGGGCCTTAAAATCTAGCAAGCAGCCATCTAAGATGCATCAGTTTTGGTCCCAATCCACTTGGAGCAAAGGAAATTGAAGAACACCAAAGACACAAGAGAAGTATTAGCCCAAGAGACAGAAAGGGCCACATAAACCAGAGACTGCATCATCCTGAGACCAGAAGAACAAGACGGTCTGGCTACCACCAACGACTGCCCTGATAGGGAACAAAACAGAGAGTCCCTGATGGAGCAGGAGAAAAGTGGGGTGCAGAACTCAATTTCTAGTAAAAAGACCAGACTTAAAGGTTTGATTGAGACTGAAGGGACCCTGGAAGACATGGCCCATGGACTCTCTGTTAGCCCAAAACTAAAACCATTTCTGAGGCCAGCTCTTCAGACAAAGGTTAGACTCAACTATGGGACATAAAATGATACTCGTGAAGAGTGTGCTTCTTAGCTCAAGTAGATACATGAGACTAAAAGGGTAGCTCCTGTCCGGGGGTGAGATGAGAAGGCAGATAGGGTCAGGAGCTGGTTGAATGGACACAGGAAATCTAGGGTGGAAAGGAGGAGTGTGCTGTCACGGTATAGGGAGAGCAGCTAGGGTCACATAACAGTGTATGTAAAATTTTTGTATGAGAGACTAACTTGAATTGTAAACTTTCACTTAAAGCACAACAATAAAAAAATAAAAACGATGTTAGCTATTAGTACTTGAACGACTAGTTCTGTCCCATCTTTCAGCCTTCCCATAGGAAAGGTTACCTCCTTGGAGAGACCTTCCTTGGCTATTCTATCTGCAGTGGACTCCCTCCCCAGCTCCTTCCATTCCCATCACCCTCATTCTGTTTATTATTTCAGAGAAATTCTCACCATCTGTAATTCTCTTGATTATTTATTTGGTCAATGTGTGTCTCCCCCTCTAGAACATAAACCCCATGTGAGCAGAACAGCTAGTGATTGGCATAGACGAAGTACTCTCTATACATTTGTTAAATGAAAAGATGACCAAATACGTCCATGAAACCATTATATGAAGAGAATAAGAACACCGTTTTACGTCGGGGGGCTGTGCAGATGTGGTCATTTCCTTTGGTATAATTTTCCCACATTTAAATACCAGTGGAGGTGGATACAAATTCCGCCCACTTCTAGCCGCTCCTCATACTGTGAGGGAGCCTAGTGGTTTATTACTTTATTTTAATTTCTAGAAGGTCGATGAATAGTCATTTATAATATCTGGCCTGCACACCTCTGTAAAGTGTGGTGCAAATTGTTACCTTTAGAAAAATATGTTGTTTTCCATTTGAATAGAGATTTAAAATTCAGCTAAAATTAAAAAAAAAAAAAAGCTTCCTGTAATCAAAGGCTTATATGAAATTCTTCATAATTTTTTGGGTTTTCTGAATATCCTAGAATTCATATTTTAAAAGAGCCCTATAAAAGTTATGTTTCGGGCCAAAGGGATAGTGGAAATGAAAAAGTTTTAAAGACGGGTGCATGCTAAGGAAGAGAAGCAAATCTTAAAAACTAGTGAGTGACACAGGTACCACGGTGACAAATCTCTAAGATGGCAGAAAGGCGGGAGTGAGTCCAACATACTGAGGAGAGAGCTCCCGTCATAGGAGGAGCCCCCACACGCCCATCATCCCCAGACATGGAAATCCCATGGTGCCATGCAGGATCCCCTGGAGGTCACAGGTCATGCGGCTCCTGATAACTGACATTAGGAGAGAATACCAGGAGACTTGCCTTTCATTTTCTGTATTTTCCAGAGGAACAGTATGTGTAGTGGTCAAGCAGTGGCCTTTGGCTACCTGAGTTTGAAGCCCATCTTCCCTGAGATGTCCCTTGGGGCAAGGCACTTTGGCCCCTCTGGGCCTCTGTTCACTCCTTGGCAAAATGGTGGAACATTGGTAAAATGGCGGAATGGCAGGACCTACCTCACTGGGTTGTTGTGAGGGTGAATCGCATGAAAAGCACATTGAATTCATTTTGGTGTATGGAATGAGGTAGGGAGCCAGTAACGGGGCACACAGTAGGTACTGGATAATTTTGACTTTTATTACCTCCTTCTAGAAAATACCACAAAATCTATGCTGATTTCGAGCAGCAAGGTGGGCTGCTGGAGTTTATCAGCTTCCTTGGGATAACTGCTCCATGGCCTGGGAATTTGTGTTTTCTAATTTTGATGGATACTTAGCTAGTACTGTGCACGTGGATTATTCAGTGGAGGTCCCTTGTTTTCCAGACCACACAGCTGTTACTTGGATTGGTGTATGCTGGGCTGGTGTTGTAGTTGCCCGGTTTTTACATAGATTGTGTTTACTTGGGGTGATTTGGGGGCTTATTGGAATTTGTGGACTCAGTTTAACATCCCATCCCCCCACCACCTCCCTTTTCAGAGGGCGCAGTGGTTGATGTTGGGAGCAAGCTGGTCTCTTCCTCCGCCCCTCCAGGAAAGCCACACCATGGGGACGGCAGACTTAAGGGACAAGCCTAGGGGGTAAAGGATTAGGAGTCTGAGTGGATGTCAAGTCTAAGTCACATACTTCAACTGGGCCTCGCTGCATTTGAGATGGGACCCCATGGATGCCATTGACCACTCCCTCCCCAATGGTGAAAACATTTGCTTTAATCTGTATTTCTTTTCATTGTGTGTAAGGTTCCACATTTCCCAATATTTACTGGCTTTTTTTTTAAGTAAAATTTAAATGTTCATGTACTTTGCCCATTTTTCTGATGGGTTTTTTGCTTATTAATTCTTAAAAGCTCATTGCTTATTATGGAACTCACCCTTTGTTACATTTTTCCCCCACCCCCACCCAGTGCACCTTTTGTTTTGTACATGCTTTGAACTTTTGTATAGTCATTTTTTCCTCTTTATGAATTTTGGGCCATACTTAGCCCTTCTATACATCAAGATTGTAATTGTAAAGATAGCCACTCTTTTTCAAGTATCTTTTTGATTTAAATGTCTATGTGTAATTGATCCAAATTGAATTCATTTTGGTATATGGAATGAGGTAGGGATCCAGCGTAACATTTTCCCAAATGGCTAGTGAATTGTTTCTACACCATTTCTTGAATAACCCCGCTTTCCCTCATGATTTGAAACACTGTGTTCCTAAGTTAGACACGTAACTGAGTCCATAGCTGGGCAGAGAGCAAAACATACAGTACCATACTTTGTGGGGAGACTGGGAAAACAGGTACATTGGGTGACAATATAAGGGCTATTGCATAGGGCAGCAATTATCAAAATGTAGAATTCTTTGATGGGGCATAGTGGTTTATTCTGGGGTACAGGATTGGGAGAAAGGACAAGGAGTAGACTTTTCCTATTTGCAAATTGCTTAAAGAAATCCAAACAGTAGGTCAACAAAAGCATATGGTGGCAAGACTCTACACCCACTTATAACCTTGGGGCCGTGTCACCTCTACCTGGGACCTCCCAACTTTTTGATGCAGTGAACAAGAACCGAGTTGAAATCATGGACAATGGGAGTCTGCGCGGAGCCGCAAATAATTCACAAGAGTCACATCTTTTGCCAACATTTAATTTTTATTTATTATGATTTTTTTAATGCTGCACAAAACAATATTTATTTCATTTGTTTCATTTATTTCTTTGCTGCTTTTATTTACTGAAAGTGAGAGGGAACTTTTGTGGCCTTTTGTATTCTGTTTCTATAGGCCGCCTTAAGCTTTCTAAATTTATAACATTAAAGCAAGCTGAAGGGAAAAGGGGGTTTCGCAAGATCACTCGGGGAGAAAGGAAAGGATGCTTTTGTTAATCATGCCCTATGGTGGGTGATTAACTGCTTGTAGAATTACGTTTCACTTTTAATTAATTGTGCTTAAGGCTTTAACTTTTGGGTTCCCTCCTTACAGCAGCTCGTACTGACGAAGGTGCATGCGCTGGATGATGTCACGGCAATCGTTGAACACGCGACGAATGTTCTCGGTGTCCACAGCGCAAGTGAAGTGGGGGTAGCAGTAGTGGCGCCCATCTCCACTGGCAGTGCTGATTCTCTGTGGGCACAGACAGAGGGGCCAGTCAGCGACACCCCTTCCAGAGTTTCCCCATTGCCAACGGGACCGCTTACAAGCACAACTGTTCACCACCCACTGAAGTTGTATTAAAACAAAACCAAACAAAGGGCATAACCAGCTAAAAAAGAAGTCACACTAGATATTCGGGAAGTAAAACTGAAGAACTAGATGGTTTAGTCCCCAAATTTAGAATTAACTCAATTTACATCCATAAGAAAAAGAGAACAAACAGAAGAAGGAGCTAAAGGCTGGCTCTACTCACCAGAAATTCGTCGCGGATGAAGTACTTGGCCCGGGTCACGCGAGGGTCCTCGCCGGGCTCGGGAGTAGCTACGAAGAAAACAAGTATTTCATTATTTAAGGTAATTACAAAAGAGTAGAGCAGAACTAGGGTACTGATGTCACTGTAGCCCCTTAACTTCTCTAACTCTGCTATCTTCAAATGAAAATTAGCCGACATAAGTTTGCCTTGCTTCCCTTACACATCCCTAAGTGAACAAACAACCACAGAGAATGTAAAGTTTTAACATACGCATGACTGTATCGAACATACTCTGATCAGCTGCATACGTACCATCCTCAGGAGTAGTGTAGCGAGCAAATTCTGGAAAGTAGTCCTCAATCTTGGATTTCCCAGCAAGGACCTTCTCAGCGAGCAGGTCTTGCTTGTTGAGGAACAGAATCACAGAGATGGTGCGCAGCCATCTAAGAAGGAAGAAAGCAAGTTTAATGCCGGGGGAAAAGAAAGCATTCTTTTTGCAAGCAGCATGAAATGCTTGCACAAAAGCTTGCACGAGATTCTTTTCTGTAACAGTGCACAAGCAGAGTGAGGTCAGTAGGAGGACTCTGGGGCTGGCTGGCGGGGGAAACTAGGGTCCCTTCTCAGACCTGTTGTTCCAGATGCTCTTGAAGAGGTTCAGAGCCTCCTGCAGACGGTTGGTCTGGTTGTCCTCCCGAATGACCATGTTGTAGCTGCTGCTGGCCACCACGAAGATGATGGCAGTCACATCTTAGCCACAAGGAGACAAAAGCAATGTATTAGAAGTGAGTGGAGGAGGACAGAAAGGGAAGGGGGGAAATGGAAGCAAAGATGATCCTTCACAATTAGAAGAGCAAAACACCCTTCAAGAGAAGCTTCCGTACCATTGAAGCATTGGATCCACTTGCGGCGCTCATCGCGCTGGCCGCCCACATCAAACATGCTGGAGGAGAGCAATGACATTTGGTTATCCCAAAGGGCTGACCACGGGTCCATCACCCTACCAGTCAGAATTCTGCTTTTTAAAAAAGCTGACACATTCACTTACTGGAAGTTGACCTTGTCCACCTGGAATTTGGTCTCAAAGATTCCAGAAGTCAGGACGCGGCAGCGGAGCAGATCCTAAAGCAAAATTTAAATTTAGGTCATCAGAATCTTACCAAGACCCACTGAAATATTAGTAATTGTCTATCTGGGGCGCAAATCTCAAAGAGCCTCAAGTCCTTGGGTTGTGAGAACTCTCGCGTACCTGGTCACTTGGCACGTAGTCGGCCTGCTTGATGACATCGATCTTGTCCAGGAAGCTGGCAGGAAAAGAAACATGGGGGTGTTCACAAAGGGCATATCAATCTGCCAACTATTTGTGTCTCTCTACAAAGTCAAGCTAAACAAAAATTATTATCCCCAGTGATACAGCATTACATTAATGGGGACTTTGCTTGAGTCAACATTTATGACCCAAAGCTTATGCCTCAACCTTTGGGTTAGAGCAAACAGAATTTAAGATAAATATGTCTAGAAACGCATTTGTTGGATAAGGTATTCAAATTAAGATTAAAAAAAAAAAAAAAGGAAGGAAGGAAAAAGGGTTGTAGCAATTTGAAATCGGCATCTAGGAATCAGGGAACTAAAGATACTTCTATAAGATAACTCCACAAACTCCTGGGATGACTCAACTCCAGGTACAGCACAGGACAGCGGGGGTCTTTGTTCTGACTTTTCATTTAAAAAGTTGGTTTTGTGCTTACCCACCAGCAGAGGGCCCAAATCTGGCCTATCAGATTTGGTGCCCTTTAATAAAAATTGATTAAAAAAAATCAAAAATTTTGACTCGTTTGGCTTTGGCTAAAATGGCAGATCATTTGAAAGTGGTACACCTCCACGCCATTTTCCTTAAAAAAGGCAGCAAGCCCTCCTCCCCCAAGGGACTAATGAAAACAAGACTGTTTTAGTTACTCAGAAACGGTATCCTTTCCTCCTACTTTTTAAGAAACTCATTTATTAAAGAGAACAAAAGAGGCTGGCACAAAGGGGCCCTTCCTGGCCTAACCACACCGAACAGGAAGCAAACACGGTTCCCTTCCGTTCTATTTGGTCCATGAAATAGAACACTCCAGATATCAAACTTTTAGTTAAAAAAAAACAAACAAAACAAAACCACCAGCCGTGCAGGTTACAGTTCCATACATGGTACAAGCACCAGCAGGAGAGGGGTACAGGGTCCCCCCAAACTAGACTGCACTGCAAACGAAACCACAGCTTTACACGAAAAAGTCGCGCCCTCCACCTCCAACGCCGCATAACTTTTCCTGAGGTGAGAAGTATCTTGCTTTGGTTGCCTGACTAGACACACCATGAGGAAAATTAACTTTTAAAGATGGGGGTAGGGTAATTCATATGAAAAATTAACGGTAAAACCGAGTTCTTTCTTCTTTGGGAGGGGAGGGACGGGATTGTTTGAAAGGGGGCCAATCGTAACAGAACATCACAAAGGGAGAAAAGTCTATTTAAAGAGATTCTATACGTTTTCCTCCTTCCTTTTTACCAGTTTCAAGTTAGTCTGGCTTAGAGAATATACAAACTTGCCCAATCAGTCTTATATTACAGCACCCGACCAGAAATAGCTCCCCAGCCGCCCTGGCCTCCAGCACCGTTGTCCTAACAACAGAACCACAGTTCTATAAATAGATCATCAGCACCAAATCTTGTGAGAGAGACATCTGGAGTGGGGCCAGCCAAACCCCAGCTCGACAAATAAAAATAGGCAGCTTAAGACACGGGCCAGGTACCAGAATCTTGACTTGAACATAAAGGCAGTTCAACCCAAAATATGCTGGTCGGGGCACAAGCAGGCCTATTTTCATCATCCAGCCCAGGAAGACATTTTAAAAGTTTTCAGCTGCCCTGTTCTCTTTTTTTTTTTTTTTTCCCCTCTCTCGAGTTTCCTTAAAACTTTCCACAATCTGTGCAAATGCTGCCCGTTGGAAGATAAAGGGGGAGGGGGGAGTAAGTTAGTGCTGCTTTGGAAAACTTGTAGATGGGGTGAGGAAAAAGCAAACCTGGTCAAACGCCTCTGAATTAATGAAATCATCTGCTCCCCCCACCCCCACCCCCAGCATTCAGAACTGGGATGGTTAAACCTTCCTAATCTTGTACCTGGACTTCACTTCTGACTTGGATCCAAAATACAAAACGCAAACAATTCCAGGATTTCCATTTGTTTTGCATTACTATAATTAGCGCTTCCAGCTTTTCGTTCAAACTTTGGAGAAAATCATGGACTTTGTTGAAGAAGGGGTGGGGGCTGGGGTCACACACACTGGCCAAGATGGACCATTTTCCTCGTCCTTGAAAAAATACACAAACGTGCTTGTGTGTTAAACTCTGGAATATCTGTGTATGTGGCAAATGGAAATAATCAGAGGGGCTTCCGACGGGAAAGCCGGGCAGGGGAAAGATAAATTGATACGTTTCATAGACCCTGAAAAAAGCCAGTGGGATTGGAGGGTAACTCCGAGAACTCAATTTCTTGTTTCCTATCTGACTACTGCTACTTTTCCCCACTCCTGTTGATTCAACTGGTTTTCTCCATAAGGTCTTCAGGCTTGGCGCTACTAAGTCACTCTTACGGGCCACCCTGGTGTCTTGATCTTCGTTAGTGAATTTTCTCTATAGCAAAAGAGCTTCTGAGTTTCGGCTACTTCCGTAAGAGGGGCTGAAACATCACCACTACCTACTGCCCCCCGACCTGGGCCCCTAAATCACACGGCCATTCCTACTTCTGAACATCTTAACTGGCGCTGCTCCACAGATGCTCTGGGCTCAGCATCAGGTAACACAAGCTACCCTGAACTGTTTTTATGACCCTGACTGCCATATGCTTGCTCTGTCATAGACAGGATGAGAAAGGCCATAAAGTATTTAAACGGAAACTTTCCACATGTGTGGTTTACATCCACAAAGATGTTTATAAACTACAGCAATAAAATACAATATTTTTATGTTATCTAACGTGTGAACTCAGCCCTATCCCCCTAAATATTCGGAGGTCAATTCAATTAATTACTTCAAGTTAATTAATTATGAATGTCACTTTATTGCAAGCAATTAGCATTTTACTCTTGGAGGCATTAATTGTTTATATAAAACACTGTCACTGCACTGAAAAGTGCAATTAAGGACTTTATAAAACAAATGAATCAGACTCGAAGTTTCTAACTGCAGGTGGGAAGAACTGGTTGGCTTCTATGAAAAGAACTCATTTGCAAATAAGGTGAACAGCAAGTGCGGCGGGGGTGTTAGCATTTTATGCATCTCTGCCTAGTTTGCTGGCCTGCTCGGGGGGCGTCACTTACTACTGGGCACAGTCGATGAGCTGGTACTCATTGGAGCGCTCGTAGCAGGCACGCACGCCTTCATCCTCCCAGAGAGCCTTGGCATGCTCGTAGAATTCCTGAAAGGGACACGAGGAAGATCGTTTAGAAAGATGGGCGCTCGCACCACATGGCAGACACTGTCCTTGGGACCCTGAGAATGTATTTCATTCGTTCTGATACCAAAGTTCGGGCCAAATTAACGAACTCGCGCTCCTAAGGAAATCGACGTGGTAGACGTACCCGGACGCAGACGTAACTAATTGCCGCTGCTTTCCCATTGTGAGGAGTGGCGGGGTTTGGCTGGGTCTCCCCACCGGCACCTTTCTGAGGGAGGGGACAGTAGACTACGGAATAATTCTGCTGCTTCACAGCATTGTTTGCGTCGTCACACATACACCAATCTGTGTTAGGAGGACGTGCCCATAAATGATTCAGTGGTGTGAAAACAAGAAACTTCATTTGTAAGATGTGCTGTGCCTAAGATTTCCTTCTAGGAAAATGTGAATTTTACCAAAAAGTAATACGATGGGTAATTTAGATTTCCTGGCCTAAAGGAGACTGGAGAAACCCCAAGAGTATGGCCCCCAGACACCCTTTTAGCTCAGTGGTGAGGTCACTTCCGAGGTTCACCGTTCAGTTGGGGAGCGGACAGCCCCATAAAACCAAACAGGACTAATGAGGCACAGCAGTCCAGGGACAAGGGCCAGAAGGCAGAAGGGGACAGGAAAGCTGGTCATAGGGAACCCAAGGTTGAGTAAGGATAGTGTTGACGTGTTGTGAGGTTGTTAACCATTGTCATAGGGCAACATGTGTACTAACTGTTAAATGAGAAACTATTTTGTTCTGTAAGCCTTCATCTAAAGTGAGAATAGCAGCCCAGTTGGAAGAGCGTAGTTGATGTCACTGAACTCTGCATGTAGAAATTTTTTGAAATGGTGTATCTTTGGCTATGTATATTTTCACCAAAAAAAAAAAAAAAAAGGTTGAGAAAGGAGAAGGTTGACATGTTGTGGGGTTGTTAACCAATGTCATAAAACAATATGTGTACTACTGTTTCATGAGAAACTATTTGTTCTGTAAGCCTTCACCTGAAGTACAATTAAAAAAAAATGATAATAATAAAAGGCCAAAAAAAAAAAAAAAGTAATACGATGGGTAATTGCTGGCAATTCTGTGCCGGCGCTGCTAAGGGTAGGAATAGGAAGGAATAAAGCAACAAACGGCCTCAGAGTTGCTTCCAATCACAGCAGGTGATAATTCTGTTTCATTTTAACGTAAAAACATTTTTAATTCTATGGGGGCACTCTCTCCTTCCAAGGGAAGGGAGAGTTTTTCTCCAGTGTGAATTCAGCAATAAGACATTTTGATTATACAGGGAGATGCAAAATGGAGGGCGTATTCTAGGGAAATATTAATTTCTGCAGCTGTGTGGTTTACATGGTGTGATGGCCACGCCTGGTCCATCTAGGTCTGGGTCTATGTAACCACGGAGGCTTACACTTCTGCTCTCGTTTGTAGCTTTTTGCTTGAAGGTAATGAATCAATACATATTAAGGCAGGAGAGTAAGAGAAGTTTTCAGGAGAAAGATTCAAAGTAGCTTGGAACCTAAGGTTCGGATATTGGTGGGACTGACAAGAGGTAATTAATTATTCAGATGCATTTTTAATAGGCTGCCATTTTCTTTGGGACACAGACTCATAGCTCATAAAAAGTCGATGGGTTGCAGTATACACATTGTGTTTACTGCTTCAATTTTTTTTTCAAACAAATGCTATTTTTTTTTAAATTTTACCTATCCGTATACTAGTGGGGGCAGCAGTATTAATATATGTTTGTACCCAAACCCGTTGAAAATAAATAAACACAAATTCCCACGAAAGCTGAACAAAAGGGAACAATAACTCACTGTGTTAACTACAGACGAGTCTCCTCCTTGGGGGCCTTACCCTTGAACATCTTCCCATCTTGTTTCCCATTCCCCTCTTATAAACCACTGTCCCCCATGAAGGGACAATGTAAATTCTTGAGCATCAACATACTTTGTCTTCCCAAAAATCAGTCTTTACGGAGCAACGCCATGCTCGCCAATCAGAGGGCACACGGAAAAAAAGATTTTTCTACATGGTCTATTTTGTCTTTTTTTTTTTTTTTAAAGTTATAATTTAGGTGAGAACCTTACTGATTTATGAATTTTTTGGCAACTTGTTTGCAACAAGAATGTCTCCCATTTAGAAATCTCAGAACTAGCCCTTGGTTGAGATCTCATGAAGTGGACAATTCATATTTGTGTGCCATGTTTAACATACAATTGTGTTTATCTTCACGTGTGTGTGTGGAGGGGGGAGATAATCAAGCCTGCCACAGCTCATGTCTTTTTCCCTCATAAAAATTTACAGTCTAATAAAGTGAAAATTGTAGTATTGAAGTGGGATGTTTACTTGTGCGGATGGGTAAGGCAGGATTCACAAGGGGTGGTAGGAATTTGCTCCTCCCTCTTGAGACGGTCCATCATGATGATGTGTGTTCTAAACACACACCCTATGTGTAGATGTCACTGATGGTCCAATACGACACGCAGGTGAGTGGTGAGGAGGGCTCCAGCCTGGCTCACCTGTCACCTGTGCATCCTACTGGCCAGGTGAGTGGGGCTGAGGCACCCGTCACCTGTGTGTCCTACCAGCCAGGAGAATGGGGTTAAGGTACCTACCACCTGTGTCCTACTGGCCAGGTGAATGGGGCTAAGGCAACCATTAGCAACTAACTGAACGCCAGGGCTTAGCTTACTGGAGGGAAATCGAAGTCCGGCACGTTCATCACGCTCAGAATGTAGTCCACTCTGAATTGGTTCTCAGGGTTGGCCAGCTCCACGGGGGGAACCAGGTTGCTCATGGCGGCCACGATGGTCTGAAAACGATTGAGTAAGCAGTCAGGGAGGGAGCACTGTATGAAAAGGGGGCTACGGAACGAGAGAGGAAGGAGCTGAGCACGTACTTCAATGGCCTCCTTCAGGTTGTTTTTGATGTCCTGCACCTTCGTTGCCTTCTCACTACAGTGGGATTGGAAAGAAAAAAAAAATCATATTGCACCCCGCTGATGCAAAGTGTTGCTATAGTCAAGATATTCCAACTAAAAGCATAGTATTCTGTTCTTCAAGGAGGTGTGGGGGCAGATCTGTGCAGAGGTGCCTGCAACAAGGCAGCTTCAAATGCCCATCTCCCGAACGTGTCCGAAGGATACGCCCGATTGGAGGAGGTTAGCAAATAGGCATCAAGAGAATGAGCCGTTACTGTACCATAAGTTGGACTTGGTTTATTTACTGATTTCGAATGTGGTTCCATCTGCTTGAAACCCCCACAGCACGTATCAACCCTTCCTAAGGGGTTCTGTGGGCCCTGAAGGGGTTCTGTGGGCCCTTATCGGCACCCCTCTGTGGGGGGTGAGGTGTCACTGCGGGTGAGGGAGGTTTCAGGGGGAACATGACAGAGATTCCATCTCTAGAGGATACAGGGGGTGGTGTTCTGAAGAACTAGTTAATAAGCAAGAAGCTCTACTGCAAACAAAAACAGCTTTCAGGGCTGTGGCCCCTTTATTCACTAATATCGACTGTGTCTGTCACAGGCCAGGCGCTGTTCTGGGCACCGCAGGCTCAGGCTAACAGCAGTGACACTCTCTCTTATTTTATGACATTCATGCGAACTGATCCCTCAGTGTGAAAAGGAGTAAAATCAGATTCTGCCCCCAGGAGTCCTTACGATCTGGGCCTCAGGCATCGATGTGGGGGGGGAGGTGTTCTGTGAAGAGGTTGTTCTTTTGTGCTAATTGTGGTTTTTACACGACAGACATACAGGAGGGCCTGTGAGTTCTGCATGGAGTGTTTAACTTTGAGGCTCTGATACAAGGGGGGCCGCATCCTTTAGCTCCTGGGCTCCCCTAACTTGATGTGACTTTTTACAGCAGATTATTATCAACCCAGATGCTGCACATCTGTCTGTCAGACACTGGGAGCCCAGCTCTCATGAGGGGCACAGCCAGGGGGATTCTGGAGTTTGTGTTCATGGGGGCCAAGAAAGAATCTCTTGCCTGGGGTATGTATCTGTAGCACCCTAGTGGATGGACCCACCATGTGTCGCACACCTACTATGTACTGGGCCCCGGGACGTGGCAGCAGAGGCATGCAGAAGTAAGGCCCCACGGGCCCGCTTCACAGAGGGGGACGCTGAGGCATGGGGGGAGAGTGGTGGGGTGGGTAGGGCAGAGGGGGGAAGCATTGCGTCAGGCAGATATGGGAGGACAGAGCTCATCTTTTGCTCGCTGTTTAAGTTTTTAAAAATCCCCCTACAGTCCCAATATCTGGAGCACCCACTTGGGTGCTTCACCTGCAGCCGTGGAAGAGAAATAGAAATTAGAGGGAAGCGCCCCTGGAGCAGAACACAACAGCAGACTGGTGCAGCAGAGATGCAGAGGGGCCCGAGAGCAACCGCAGCCGGGCAGAGCTGGGGGCAGTGCTGCCGGGGTGGGGGTGTATGCTGGGGAGGGTGCTGGGGGGCAGCGGCCAGGGGTTAGTGGCGGGGGGGGGTACGTGCAAGCCTGCCAGCAGCCCCTCCTCCTAAAGATCCTGCTCTTTCCCTGTGCACGTGACTGTGGCCATGCGTAACCCCCAGCATGGTCTTCTCTCAGAACGAGCATCTGCAGACTTATTGGAGGGGTGGGCCTTCATTTTCTGAATGACTTTATTTCCCCCTTCTCCTAGGACCCGGCCTCTGTATCACAGATGGGCCCCTAAGACTTCTCCCAGCGGAGTGAGGGGTGAGGCGGGGTTCAGAGGTTACCGTCCTCATCGGTCGTCAACAGTACATGGGGGGGGGGGCAGGTGGTAACAGGAGCCCCTCATGGCCACCTACATAAAATATCACCAAATCTAGTGACCACTGGGGACAGATATGGCAAGGAGGGGTGTGCCTGCAGACCGGGGGTGTGGCATTCCTACATAGACCCTGAAGCTCGCATCTGGCCCCCAAACCCGCCAAATAACTGCCCTGAATTTAAGGGGACAGAGGGCTGCCCTCCCCCCGACACACACACCACGGGATCACTGTGCCCTATACATGTAGAATCAGTGTGCTTCTGAAATTACTGTCTAACGTAATTTCTGGGCTTGGTGTTAGTCTAAAATCGGTCATTTAGACATTAGGATTAAAAGGACACGTGACTGGTTGCCCCTAATGTTCACTTATGAATGCAGAATTTACCTGAAACCCCATAGGACACACCCCTTCCCATTCATTAGAAACAGGCTCCATTCCTGGGGGATGAAATCCATTACCCTGTGGTTTAAAAAGGTCTCACGACAGTAAAATTAGATGTGTTCGGGCATGAAATGCCCAAATCCACACAGAGCCGGGGTGAAATATTTCTAGAAACAAGGTTCCCTCATTCAGTTTGATATTTTGGTCTAAGTAGTAGTATGATAATTGGAAAACTTCCAGTCTTAAATACAGATATTTTGAGAACGTGTTCAGTATTCATCCACGTATGTGAATAGGTGTGGGAGTATATCAAGCATAAAACAGCTAAAATAGAAATCTAAAATCTAATTCGGGTGTGTAATGCTAAAACATAAAATTCTTCCATTGAAGCAATTACTATGTAGATGGAGATATTATACTGAGGGCTGGCAGGTTTATCATCATTTTTACTATGGCTTAATCAATTTAAAATTAAAGTTGTGAAATTCAGAGAAAATGCCTCCGATATCTTCAAGCTACTTAACAACGCCAAAGTATAGATCAATGGCTGGAACGCCGATTGACTAAAAAAATCAGGGCTGGAAATACCCTTCAGAGCTTGTTGCCCCCCGCACCCCCACGTATAAAAACCCATTGCCGTCGAGTCGATTCTGACACACAGTGACCCTCTACAGTAGAACTGCCCCCACAGGGTTTCCAAGGAGCGGCTGGTAGATTCGAACTGCCGACCTTTTGGTTAGCAGTTATGCTCTTAACCCCTGGGCCACCAGGGCCCCACTAAAGTAAGATTACCCGTTGCTGTCGAGTCAATTCTGACTCAAAGCGGCCGTATTAGCTAGGGTCAAATTTTAAGAGCTCACCCCCCTCCCCGACCATCTAAGTGTTAGGGGAAGGTTCTGTTGGACTTGGCTTCATTTGGTTCTAGTCTCTCTCTGCTTCTGTAGGGGCAGACAGACAAAGAAAAGACAGCAGACAGACGGCAAGATAACAGGGATTGCTGAAACATGCAGAGTAGTTTTTATTTATCACGTTACGTTGTTAATACTTAATATTGAGCTGTAGAACAGTGTCACAGATAGAGCTGCAGGCAGAAGATTAGTGGGGTTCGAGGGTGGGGGTGCAACAGCGAGGACACAGTAGCTGCTCAGTAAGGATATTCTCTATTTCTCAAGTGCCAACTTCTGGTACAGCAGATCTCAGTGACTCGCATTTTACGCAGATGCCCGTGTTGGGGATTGCTGTTACACATTTTGGCCAATCAAAGATCTCCCATCACTTTTTAGTTGGCTGATTGAGTTATCATTAAAGGGCAGGTAGCAGGTAGCAGGGCCCTGTCCCCCCCTCCCCCCCACAACAGAATAGTATTCTTATTAGAAGTTCCCAAGGATGGAGCAATTCCAGCATGCAAATTGTGATGGGACATAGCCGGGAGGTTGAGCCTGTAGCCATCATCTAGAAATAATAGTGTCTAAAAGAAACAGATGAACAAACAGGTATCAGTCACTTCGTCCCCGACCCCAGTATCTTTTGCCCCTCCCTTCCCTGGCCACAGAAGCTCTCTCTTGGAGATAACCTAGGCTAGGTCCATCGGCTCTGCGTGTTCTCATGAGAAACAGCTGCTCCATCTCTGCATGCTGAATCTGCGAGCAGGGCTACGGCGGGTTACCTGGCATGCTTGTGTGAGTGTGTGTGTGTGATGGGTGTGCAGATGCAGGAGTGAAGAAAAGCAAGATGACAATGAATGAGGGAAAAACATGGAGGCCATCGTTCGTCTCCCTGTCTGAGAGCTGACATTCAGACTGAAGTAAATTTGAGCGTTTTTAAAAGACTCAAGGCTTTTCGAGAAGATTCTTAAAAGCCCTCTCCCACAAGGTGCCCGTGTTCCCGTCCCCCGAAAATTAAGGACTGCGTGGCACTGCAGATTTTAACAGCAGGAGGAAAATTTCTCTCAAGAGAGGTCTGAAATTTTAAAATCAGACCCACCGCTGGGGGGATGGAATTTAATAGATAGTTTTAAAAACGAGTAGCTGATTCAAATGGAGAGACTGTTGCGGGGCGGGGGGTGGGGGTGGGGAATAGAAACCATATGGAAAAACATCGATTCGTAAAATTCTAAACTGATCATCTAATGCTGAAATCTATAACTTTCCCCCCAGCTGGATCCAATTATCCTGTAAGGATGGCCAAAAAAAAAAAAAGAAAAAAAAAAAAGTACATTATGCACTTTACTTGCTCAGAAATGTTAAGAGATTGTTTGCATGTCATGTGAAAACAGACAACCAACATGGCTGATGGTCCTGCAGTGATGTTTGCCCTCCTCCAGATCTCTGCCCTTGGCTGCCCAGTAGGATCTTCATGTCTGTTTTGTTTGGTAAACAATGTTTTCTGGTTTGAATGTGCCTACCCATCGCTGTTGCTCCTTGCAGCGTGCGGGTCCTCTTCGCCGCCCCTTTTAAAGAGAGATTGAAAGCTCACCTAATCTGCAAGGCACCGCGACTCCCCCCCCCCAAAAAATAAAATAACCCCACACAGCCTAACTTCCTAAGCACGCGGCCGAGAGACAAGGCAACAACCCGCACGCCGCCATCACCGCCGCCATCCTCCCGCTAACTCTCGGGTTGCCTTTCTGGCCGCCGTCCTCCCGCTAACTCTCAGGTCGCCTTCCCGGCTCACTTGGCCCATCTCCTGAGACCGCAGGCCGTGGAGGGAGGAACCCACACCTTTGCTGCAGAATCAGCAGAGCCCTCTAGAGACTCTGGTCGGATACAGAAGGGACGGATAATTATTTTCTTGTGCTTTCACTAAATGCACATGCATTAGGGAGTGAGGGCAGTGATTTATTTCACAACTCTTTAGAGAGTCGGGCAGCGCAAAGGGCCCCTAACTCTCCCAGGCCCCATCTTCGCAAGCCGTTTCATCTGAATACACAAAGGAACCGATACAGGGGGCTGTGGCCCATGAGTTCCTGGGGCAAAATCAATGACATCCCTTCTTGCAGTGGGGGAGCCCACGTTAAAGTAGTTTTATTTGTAAATAATGGTTCCCCCATAAATTGCGGTCTGTGATCTGCACCAGGAGGCAGCAAAAAAATAGAAATAATAATTCAAAAGAACAAAACCCACTAACCATAAAGCAACCAAAACTTGGTCTTCACAAACAGGAATTCCTCCTTGGAGGCAGAAAGGTGGGTGGGATGGCTAAGCCCTCTATATTGCTGTGTAATGGATTAGCTTGGCTCAACCAATGTTAATGGTGTTTTTATTTCCCTCGCACTAAATGTAAGGAAGAGAGCAAGCTTTGAGGCAGGAAAATCCGCATTCGACCTCTGGATTTCTGAAGGTCACATTAATATTACAGGGGGCACGGCAGCCTGCGGGTAGTTAAGGCGAATCCAGAGCTCAGCCTAGCCCTGACAAAGCGCACATTTAGGGGAAGGAGAGGCAAGGTCCTATAGTCCAGAACACCCTTTAGTGGATGGATGTCATCACCTCACAGGGAAGTCCTTGTTAAGGAGGACATGGCTTTTGTTGCAATACCGCAGTGAGAAAAAGAAAAAAGAATCTCAGTTGGACAAGATAAAAATAAGTTACTGAGGCTCACACGAAGAATTCCCCTGTATGTCATTTTCACAGGCTAAATTTAACATCCTCGGAGATTACCTATAGCTTCCTCTACAGAGGAGGCTAACCAGGGACGACGCTTCCTCTTTCCAAAAAGAAAACAGAAAAGAGAAGTCCTGGTTTAAGTCTTGCCTGCCTTATAGAAAAGGGACAATCTTGTCTCTAAAAATTAAAAAAATTAGGGCCATCTGCAAAGTGACTGGACTTTTAAGTAAATTATTGGACACACGTCTTATATTCTCTCGAACTGAAGGTAAACAGTGGCTGCTGTATCTTCTGAAAAAATGCTAGCCACGTCCAGTTTTAATCATAATATTTACCTAGAGGATACATGGCCAAATTGTTTTTGCTTAACTAGCCCCATGAAGAAGCACCACCCCCCCAAACAAGTGCAGGGGCCAAAATTACGTATGCAATACATTTTCCTTTAAATTATAAACTCCCAGCCAAAAGGCCATTTTGGTTTTGTTTATTGACCAGATGGCAGTATCCTTCTGCCGAGCTTTACTGAGAGTGTGTCAGGAATTAAGAACCTCAGAACTGTTTTTTGACAAGTGAAGGTGACTTATCTAACATCCTATGTGTGCATAGGATGATGACTCATTGAAAGTCATTCATAAAATTGGTGAAATAGCCCATCCTGCGTATGAGCTAGTCCTTCTGAATTCAGGGTTGGAGCACAAAAAGCACTCTAAACTAAAACGTCCATTTCTATGGGTGATGTCATCCCTTCCTTACCCCTGGTTACCTGCTCTAACAGATTCCAGAATGTTCCATAAAGAGCTGCCTGCAGACCGCAGTTCTTCTATACCTTCGGAAGTGATAAAATTCATCTTGTGTCCCCAGTGCTTGGTGCACAGTAGGTGACAGCATTTCTTTTCTGGTTTGGTCTTTATTTGGTGCACGACTAAAGTAAACTACGTCACCTTGACTCAGTCTCCCCCTTTGGAAACCTACGGCTATATTTTCAATGGAATTCAGGTTTAAGAAAGGGACTGGCTTTGCTAGCTCCTAATGGCAAACTAGTGCCCCGAGGTGTTTGTAATCTAGTGAGATCAACTGCTGTCACGCCCGTGAAGTGAAAACAGGGCTGGTCAACCTTGGCTTTTCCATTTCACACATTTTGTTCCATGAAAATGACCCACAGCGCATTCGGGGGTCAATGGGAGAAAAGCAAATTCCCTGATTTTATTGAACTCCTGTTTGCACGGCTCATGTCAAGTACCCCCCATACCTATCTTTACATCTGTAATATATGCTCTTTAAAAAAAAAAAGAAAAAAACAACTTTATTCTCACTGCAGCATTGTCACATTGTCCTGGAAGGACTTTTTCAAAGGCAAAAATGCCCTTTGACAAGTCGGAAGTACCTAATTCCCAGTCTTTCCATCATTCCCATGTGCCCTTTTAATTCCTCTGAGGCAGGGGGATTGATTTCTAAAACAGAGACACAAAGATTTGCCTGTCATGTTAATTCTAGAGGAAAAAAGGAGGAGGAATTGTTAAGCGGAGCTGCCACTTCCAACACTGTTTTGTGGAGATTACTGAAACAATGTTTCCCTAACTCCTTCAGCCCTGCAGTTCGCTGGTTACCCGCCTGCAGTGGCTGGGACCCTGTGTCAGCCATGTTGGGAAAGCCACGGCCACGGCAGGGCCAGCAGATCCACTGTCACAGGGCCAAGTGCATTAACTGACCTCCGCAACCAGGAGCTCTTTTCCTTGGAAAGGGAGATGTCTGACAAGAACACTGGTGCTTAAGAAACACCAACAACTTTATTTGTTGCACCAAAGACTGGGGTGGGGGGCGGGGGGGGTTGGCTAGCGAGCTCTTCCTAGGCTTTTTCATATGTGGTCAGAACCATTCAGTGCAAAGTTGGCTGCCCCACCCCAAAAACCTACCTATGCTTCCTAAAGGTTAGTTATAGAATTGGTTACTCTTACTCTGCATTTCCCTTGGTCAGATATGACACTTACTCTCCATTAAACCCATTAACATGCAGGATCCTCATCTGCTTCACAATGGTGCTTTTACCAGATTCTCCAGCACCTGGAAAATGAAAGTAAGTCTCAGGTTATGAAGGAGGCATTTCACACACGTTGGGCAGGGAGGAGGGCTGCGGCTGCTGCTGCTACTGCTGCTTTTCCACAGAAGCGACACGGAAAACACAAACACACACAAAATAACAGGCTTGCAATTGTTCCTTGGCGTTTTGACGCAGAGAAAAGGAAATCAACGTCCAAGTCTGCGTCTACCTGCAGTATTTCACCATCAGAACAACAAACAAGAATTAAAGCTTTTGCTGTTTTTTTTTTTTTGCTTTGTTTTTTAGGGTTTGCTTTTGGTGGTGGTGGTTTTGTTTTTTAAAGTGCGGGATGGAGAAGGAAAGGGGCGAAGAAAAGGAATGACGCAATTTTGTCATGGGGGGAGAACTGAAACGAAAGCAGGGAAACTGAGCCCCGAGAAGGTCAGCCATCACTGGTAAAATGTACACAGGTTGCAGACAGCCACAGAATTCGTTGTTTGTCAGCTGTTTCATGGTTAAATACCCAGGAATCACAAACAATGCGCGGCCACCGCAGTGTCCCCCCCCCATCACGTACCAATGCACCATTCCCCCCCAAACATGTTCACAATGCAGCTTCTCCCCGCGCAGGTTTTCCTCCCCTTGGGCTACATCAAAAGCCACCCCTAAAACCGCAATATGACATTTTATCCACTTACTCCCCCCTTTTCCCCCTCCCCCCAAACCCTAACTTTCTAAAGATAAATTCTCCCTGGGTACAACCACCATGTTGCAGGGGAAAATGGAAGACCTTCAATGATCTGTCATCTTCTCAAAAAACACGTTTTAATCTCAAATACTGTGCTTGGGAACAACCGTATTACCAGCATGCAACCTGCAGCAGCAATCATGAGGAGGAACAAAAGGACAAGACTGGAATCGTCAGGACAAATGTTCCTGGAAACCACTGAATTGCAAAGATTCCAAGCCCTTCCCAACCAAAACAGTGAAAAAAGGAACACATGCCTCCATTTTAAATCACCTTTCATTTGCAAAAATACATTTTATGGAAAAAACACATTTGCACCAAGCAAGAAGGGAGGACTGGCTGCTGTTTTTCTTTCTTTCTTTTTTTGCAAATGCACTCTCTCTCCAACAAATAATCCCTGTGTGAACAGTGTGCCGCCCTCCTTCCCACACAAACCTGTCTGGTTTGTCCCCTCTTCTTTCTTTCTTTTGCACTTTTTTTGTATTGTTTTGCTTTGCTGCCCAGACAGCAAGGCATTCCTCCCTCTCCTGCCTTTTCACCAGGCTGTGATCAATATTTGTAAAAGTTAAAATTAGTTTCCACAGAAACATTGATTTCAAAGCAAACACCCTCTCTTTAATGAGCCTAACTCTCAGAAATTAAAATAGAAAAGGTACTATTTAAGGGATTCCATGAAGAGAATGAATAATATCAATCAGGCTCTCCAAGAGTCCCATTTTTCAAGGTTAAAATGTGTACCACCAATCTCTCAGAGGCACAAAGAGACCTGTGCCTCAGTTTCCACACTGACAACTTCAGGGGATTGGGCTGGAAAATGACTCTAACAGCTTTTGTGCTTCTGTAGCAATTCACTCAATGGTCATGTCATTATCATATTGTGTAGAAAGAGCATTTGGGCATTATCATTTTTCTTCGTTTGGGGGGAGGCATTATTTGGTGAAAGTCACCACGTACAAATGCAAACTGCATCCCTGGCATGGGGTGCAGACCCCGTGACAGAGGCTATCACTCAATTCACTGTGACTGGATTCAGCCATATAGACTAGAGCCCTTTAGAAAGATGGGCTGCCCCCCCCCTGCCCCCCCCGCCCCCCCCCAAGGTGTGTTCAGATTAACTGTCTCAAATGATGTGGAGACTTTATGATCACTGCACAAAAGGTGTTAGAAATTTAAGGTACCGTTAGTATCACACTTGACTTAAATTAGTATTCAGATAGCATTGATAGAAATGATTCTAGACTTTTCCAGGCTTCTGCTTTGAAATCAAATTACTATACGCATATTAATGTTTACATGGCATAATTGAACCTTTATAAGTTTAATTCAAGACCTCAACATATGCACCATTTAATTATTAAAACTGTAAGTGAAAAAACACCAGAAAGACTTATTTTCACTTCATTAATAATTTCCCACTTTATATAAATCTGGACCCAGGAGAACAAAGGCAGGACCCATCCAAAAAAAAAAACCAAATCAAACACCAGCACAAAGGAAACCGGCCTTTTACATTTTGTTCTTTATAACCAAGCTGTTTTTTGTTGAAACGTGCACACCAACTAGGTCTTAACCTAGCAAATTCATAAATTTAATCAGCTAACCAAATGATCCAGTGAAAACTTCCATTTTAATTATGCCTGTGTGATTCTCTTGCTTATTCCAACCATTTCTTTTATGCTTCTTTTATTTTATTTTTTTCTCCAAAGCAGCACCTTTAAAGAAAAAACAGGGAGAAAGGCCATCTCCTCACATTTAACCCCCCCCCCCACTTTTTTGCCAAAGAGGAAAAACCGCAATCAAAAAAAAAAGAAAGCCCAAAATCAACCAAATGTCACTTGACAACAACTAATTAATGTCCTTCCATCTCCTTCCACCTGGAAAAAAGTGTTTTCTCCTTAAAGTGCTCTCAATCCCCCCTCCCACCTTGAAAAGGACAAAAAAACGCCATTTGCAGACCAAGAAGCCATTTACAGACAATGTCATTTTCCAGTTTTATCTGATTTGTGAATGTCTTTTTTTCCCCCACAAACCACTCTAAATGTGGCGACTAACACAAAACGTGTGTGTGTGTTTTACTGGTTGATTGCAAGGGGGGCAGCAGCTGGGGGAGGGGGGGAGGCAGCTGCTACAATTAATTCTCTTCTTTGCTTTTCAAAAAGCCTACATATCTGGAAGGGGAAAAAAAGGTCATACTGTAAAAATGACGTGTCATTTGGCTTCACTGGGCACTTTGCGTAGTAACTCTCTTTTTTTCCTTTTTCTAATTTTCTTTGATTCTCCTTCGGTCCCCTCCACCGCCCGGTCTGCGCGCACACACTCCGAAACGCACCGGGTCGCGCCCAGCGGCCGCCGCGCCCCCTCCCCCTCCGGCGCCACGACTCGCCCGCCCCCCCCCCCAATGCACCACCTTTGCCGCCGCGATCCCCGCCGAGGGGCTGATGTCACCCGCCCCCCCACTCTCCGCGGCCACTTCCCTCGCCAGAGCCGTCCTCGGCGCGGCCCCCGGCGACCCCCTCCCCTCTCGTCCTGGCCGCGGCCCCCTCCCAACAAATCACACACTCCACGGAGGCGGGTCCCCCCGGGCCCCGCCGCCCGTTTCCTGCCCCCGAAACCCCCTTTCTGCCGCAGTCTCCCGCGCCCCGGCGCCCTCCCCCTCCCCAACACGCACCCGAGCCCCCAGCGTCGCGTAGGCCTCGCGGGGACAGACAGCGCGAGGGGCCAGGCCGGGGTGGGGACCGCGCCTGCCCCCCCGAACGCGC